TAATGAAATGAAGAAAGAAAATGAACAACTAACAGAAGAAAATATAAAATTACAAGGTGAAATAAATGAGATAGAAAGAAAATCATGGAAATGAATAACAAAGAAGAAACCATTCGAAGTCTAAAATCCACTAAAGGGAAGTTACAGAAGGAAAATGATGAACAAAAGGAGAAAACAGAAGAGCTGAAGAAAAAGGAGAATTACTGGAGAAGAAGAATAGTGTATTAGAGGAAAAAGTGGAAGTACTAGAGAGAAGAGTTGAGGAGCTGAAAAGTGAACTAAGAGATAAAGAAAAACAAATCTCTGAAATTCAACAAGCAGCAATAATAAGTCATGAGATTACAGAAATAACAAGAGAAGAATTAGATAACATACAAAAAGAAAATGAAGCACAAAAACAAATAATATCAAAACAACAAGATGATATTGTAAATTTTATCTCACAGAAGGAACTAGAGAAGAAGAAAACGATGACACTTGTGATAAATACACAACCAGTATTGATGAAAGCATCATCAGGAACAATGGAGATGAACGAAACTACTCCTATGAAAAAGACAATAGTGGAAATCGAAGAGAAAAGCACTGATTGTCAAAAAACAAGAGATGATAGTCAGACAAGAAATACAACAAACCAAAGAAATCAAATTTTAATTGAAGTGATGTATTGTTTTGCAATTAATTGGTTAAATAAAAATTATATAAGAAATTAAGATAGGAATAAATAGAAAGTATAATAAAAGTGATAAACATCAATGTCAATAATGAAAAAGAATATATTAAATATATTAAAATGTCACATAAAATAAAAGAAAGTATTAAAAGGCACATTAAAATGAAAGTAAATGATATAATAGAATGAAGAGTAGAGTGTAATTCAATAATAAAAAACATCATATTAAAGAATAACTATACTGAAATTGATGAAGAATATCTTAACACTCTCATCAATAAAGTAAAAGAAATGAAAATAGAAAAATGTTCAAACATTAATTACTACTTTCAAAGAAAAGAAGCTGACGAATTGATAATGGAAATTAATAATAGATGGATAATGTCAGGAATTAGAATGCATGATCTGCAAGATGATATGAATATTTCAATTTATATGCACCTCTATCTCCAAAATAAAATAATAGGAGATAAATTTGATGAAATAAAAGAAATCCTAAAGAAAATAAATAGACTAGAAGATTTAGTCAAGGGAAGAAAATGGTACAGAATAAAGTGCATCATGAAATTAAAAGAATATGATGAAGAAGGAATAAAAGTCAAAGCACTAGAAAGAATAAAGTACCTAAAATATATGATGACTATGATAAAAGAAAGAATTAAATTTAATAAAAATGAAATAATCAGAATCAATACAAATAAAATCATGTTTGATTCTAACAAGAAAATTAGAATAAGGAAGAAACAAATGAATGAAATATACTCAAATAACGATATTACTTTAGAATATTGGAAATATTATATGAAACACAGGTGATATTAAATAAAAAGAATTGGAAAATAAAACAAATCACCTCGTGGAATGAAAGATATAGAAACTATGATAGTGTCATAATAACAATAAATGAATTAAATTTAAGTATAATGAAAATAAGTAACTGGAAAACACCAGGAATAGACACTATATATGGGTATTATTGGAAAAGGATGTCATCATCAAGAGAAGCCATTCTCAGTATCTTCAATGAATGGTTGAACTTCCCCGAAAACATCCCATTAGACATGGTAAGTGGAAGAACTTTATTAATCCATAAATTGATACGAATGACGTCATTAATTATCATCATATCAGTTGTACAAATGTAATTATGAAAGTATTTACATCAATATTAAAAGAAAAGATTCACAGAAGATTTAACATAAATAATGAATCATTTAAAATTAGTAAAAATCAACTGGGATGTAAGTTACAATCTTTAGCTGCTAAAGAATGAATAATTAATAGTTATATGTTAAAGCAACAGAAAGAAGAGAAATACCCAAAATATGATGAGTCATATTATGACATCAAGAAAACATATGACACTGTCAACCACGAATGGGTAATTGAATCATTAAAATATTTTAATTATGAGTTTGTCATCATTGACATTATTGAAAGTATGATGACTAGATGGAAGATATTCATCGGTTATAAATTTAATGAATATCTAGGATGTATTAAATTAAATAGATGAATTTTATTTATATTATTCATTATGAAATTGTTTTATTTTATATTATTAATATTCTGCCTGTAATTGTTTGTCATTTTGTATTTTATGTTATTCTATTTATTCTTATCATGTTTCTAGTTGATTGGTTGTTATTTTTTATTTAAAATGAATCATCTAATTTATTCATTAATTATTCTGTCTTTCTATTTAACACCATATCTATTCTTCATACACAATTTAATCATCATTAAAATTTACTTTAATGTATTGATTTGTTGTTTATCTCTCTCGTTCTTCATATTCAAATAATTTATTCTTGTCAATTTGTTTCATTTCTATTTTATATTGTCATTATTGTATTTATTTTGTGTTATTTTAATTTCATATATTTTTGTTTCTTCTTTTGTTTAATTTCTTTATTTTCATTAAACATAGTTTATTTGAATTTGTATTTGATGATGAATGTTGAATATACAAATAAAAAAATGAAATAGAATGTTTTAAATTGATTCAAATAATATTAGTTTATATAAATAATTTGTTATTTGTATGTTATTGGTTAATAAAAATTAATCAACATTGACATGACTATGATTATTATAAAAATGAAATGGAAAATTATAAGAATAAAGAAAGAAAATAATAATACAAAGATATATGAATAAATGAAATGGAAAAATGAAATAAATACAATATAAAAATACACAAAGAATACTCAAATTTGAGAATATGATATAAGAGAAGTCAACTAAGAAAAAAAGAATGTATAATTAGAAAAATCATAATAGAAAATGAAATTACAAAGAACTGACAAAATTCATGACAATTATATTGAAATGATAAATAATTATGAAGTAATTTAATATCAATAATAGATATTTATATCAATCAATTAAATAAATATATACAATCAAAAGAATGAATAGATGAAAGAATAAAATAAAGAATAGAAAATGACAAAATGAAATACATAAATTATGAAATAAAATAATATCATAATATTTGAAACAGAAAGAAATAATGAAATTCAATAAATTATAGAAAATGAATAAAATAAAGAATAAAATTAAGGAATGAATAAAATGTATAAATAATATAGAATAATAATTGAAATTGTATTTCTTACATTTTATAAAATAACAAATAAGTATAAAATGATAAGAATCAAATGAAATGTATTTAATTCAATTAATTTACACAACAACATTTACAAATATGAAATGAGAGAAATATGAAATAAATAATAGAAATACATGATATAAAAAATAAATCAAAAAAAAAAAATAAATAAAGAATAAATCAACATATAATAATAAAACGAATAAAATAGATGAAAGAACGAATTTTAGAAACAAACAAATGTTAATTGAATAATGAATTAAAATAATTAAATATGATTGATTCATACTATTATTATTCTAATACTATTATTTTATGTTTATTAATACAGTCGTGATTAAAATTTTACAATGCTTTATTAATTATTCTTAGTTTTATCACCTTTTCATTCTATAATCACTTTTAATACTCTTTTTCAATGATTTAATATTTTATTTTATCATTTATTCTCACCATTAAATATATGAAGTATAATTGTTAGTTAAATTGATATTATCTATTATTCAATTATTCATTATTATGTTTTTGAATATACTAAATCTCATAAGATTGTCAACTAGTTATTTCAAATGTCATTACCACAATTAACATTATTGTTTATTTTATTCAAATTAAATAATACCAATAAAAATGCAAGAATAGTTATGACACAATAATCATAAATTAAATGAAAAAATATACTTCTTGCATCAACATATTATTTATTTAAATATCATATCATTTCTTATCTTATCATTTTGTTTATTATATGAAATTGGATAAATGCTTTTATTTTTTTCAATAATTTAGAATTACCCATATTTTCTGTCTTTCTTGTTTAATCATTCCAACAAAAACATCAAGTCAATTGATCAACTTCTTTTCATAGGATCATTCTTTTATTCAATTATACATACCTATTGTATTAATTTCTGTCAATGAATATATTATGTTGAAAATAAAATATGCAGTAAATCGTATTTCATTCTCAGTAATTTTATTATTATTCTTCTTTTTATGAACAAAAAGATTAGTTGTTGTTTGACTTTAATTGCACTGTGTTGTTATATTATAAATACTAAGGTTTAAAGGATATAAACTTGTAGTTTATAAAACACCGTCACAGCACTATTTAATTCATTCAACACTTTAAATTTTATAACTGACCTACCAGTTAATTACACAAGCACATTTTATTGTTTTGGAAACAATGCCTTTATAAATCTTATAGACAAAAACTGTTCTAAACAAACAAAACACAATTACTTACTTTATTAATCATTTTCTTAATAAATACAATAAAGTAAGGATTTATCAATTCAATGACTTATTTATTCTTGTAACCAATGAAAAAGTCACATAAGATTAGATTATTTCTTTTAATTAACATGAATAGCTTTATTAAACCTTATTGACACCTTGATATATTGTGTTAGTAAAATTCAAACTGTAATATTTCATAACACATCAATGCTTATTCTTTAATGAAAAGAAAACAAAATGTTTAGTAACTTAACTACTTAAAACCTAATGAATTAAAAATCTTTTTTATTTCTTCATCATCTTCTCAACTAACTCATTTTTACCAACACATCGTGCTGTTTTAGCTGAATTTAATCTAGCAATAACAGCTCTCTTAATCATTACTTTTAATCTTCTTTCTATTTCTTTTCTCTTAATCTCATCATTCATAGCAATCCTTGTTCTCAAACATCTCTTCAAATTCATAATTTTCTTCTTCAACATAAATTCTTTCTTAAGTTTCTTCTTTAATTCTTCTAATGCCTCTTTAGAATTCTTTTTAGTATCTCTAATAAGTGTTTTTTGAACACCTTTTCTACTTAATATTGTTTGATATAATGCATATTTTGCTCTATTATCAATATCTTCTAAATCATCTATTTGTGTATTATGTTTTAATAATTCTTTACTAGCTTTAATTTGCATCTTTTGTCTTTCCTTTAATGCTGCAAGTCTATAATATTGGTCTTTTAATTTTTGAATTTCAAGTCTTTCTAATGCACTTCCCATATTAGCATCTTGACTTTGAAGTTTTAATACTTTCTTTTTTAATGCAATTTTCGTATCTAATCGTCTTAAACTCTCTTGTAACATCTTTCTTTTTTGATTCATTTTTTTACTTGATTCTACTGCTTTCTTCATAATATCTTTCTTAACACGATTTGAATATTCTTCGTTTTTATTTCTCATTGTTCTCATTTCTTCTCGGAGTAATTCTTCTCGTTTCATTTTCATCATTTCTTTTCTTATTGAAAGTCTCTTCTTACTTTCTTTAATTTCTTTATCTCCAATAGCTTTCAATGCTTCTATTTTTCTATTTTCTACTTTTCTTTCTTCATCAAATGCTTCTTTCTCTAATCTTAATCTATCTATTTCTTCTTGAATTTCCCTTTTAACTTTCATTAAATATTGTCCTTTTCTTTCTTGAATTTCATTTTTTAATTTTCTATCAAGTATTTCTCCTTTTTTCTTTTCTATTTTTTCTCTTTCTTTCTCTTTATATTTTTCAAATGTTCTACGTGCACATTGAATTTGTTTCTTTTTATATATTTTTAATTCCGCTAATTGTTTATAAATCATATTAATCATTTCCGCATTTTCTGCAATTTTAGCTGCTTTTAATTTTGTATTTAAGATTTTTCTTTTTCGTTCTGTTATTGCTCTTTCTCTAGCTTCTTTCTTTTCTATTGCTTTGTCTTTCATCTCTTCTTTCTTTTCTATTCGTCGAATTTCTTCTTTAGCCATTTCTAACTCTTTTAATCTTTTAACTAATTTTTGATATTCCATTTTTCTAACTCTTGCTACTATTTTTGCTGTTTTTGCTCGTCGCTTTTCTTTCCTTTCAAGATCCCCTATCATTCTTCTTCTATTTCTCATTTCTTCTGCCATTTCTTCTACTTGTGTCTTAGCAGTACCCATACTTCTAATATTCTCAATCTTAACATCATTTAACTCTTCTCTTTTTTCCGTTAATCTTTCCATTTCTTTTTTATTTTTTTGATATTCTTCAATTTTCTTTTTCATTATTTCATTAAATTTACCTGCTTTTTCATCAGCATGTTGACGTGCATAATTAATTGTTTCATTAATTTTCTTTTGTTCTTCCATTAAATATGTTATCTTCTTATTAACTCCTTCAATCTCTGCTGTGACATTTTTCCCTTTAATTTCTATATTCTTCTTTTTTCCTTCGATTTGTCTGATACGTGCCTGTTCTTCTGCTGTTCTATTTTGTTTTTCAATGTCTTTTGTTTTGAATGCTCGAGCATATTCAGCTGCCATTTGTTTTTGGACTGCATTTTCTACCATCTTTTCAACACTCTTGTTAGTTTTTCCAGCCACAGCAATGCATAACAAGATTACTATTAATACATTGATTTTTCCCATGTCTTAAAATAATACATTTTTTTCAGTTCAGTTCTGTTTTTCTATTTTCTTTTTGATTTTTTGATTTTTAACAAGAGAGAAAATAAAAATCTAAATATCATAGGAAATGAATGGTGGCGGTGGAATAGTCAATGTCCCTGTCAAGGAAATCCCACGAACACTAAAACAACGTAAAAAGAATTGGAAATGTAATTATCCTGGATGTAATGAACCACCTAAAACAAGATATAATTGTTATGCACATGTTTGGGATTCTCACATTAAACAATTTCTTGCAGAAGAAGGAAACAATCCCGATAACATGTTATTAACATCATTTAAAAATTCTAATGAGAAAGATAAAATAAAGAAAATTTGTGAAAGATACATGATTAAATTAGTTGATAAAACACAAGGAAGACAAACATATCCATTTGCATTCACAGAAACAATTGCACCACTCATTGGAGTTGCACTAAATGAACTCCAAAAGAAAGAGAGTCAAAATAAGAATAAACAAGAACAAGAGGAAAAAAGAATAAGAAGTATAGAAGAAAAAAGAGAGTTTTTAGGACATAATGAGATAATTAAAACAGACAGTGAAACTACCGAAAATATATTAAATAATAGTCAAGAGTATCAAATAGTAGAAGAAGGAAATAATGAAGAATATAAAATAAATGAATTATTAAAAATTAAAGGAATTAGAAATAAAGTACAACAATTATATATGTTAGGAGAAATTTTTTCAAATGAAGGATTTCTTGTAAGGTCAGATGAAAGAAATAAAAAAGAAATTGAAAAAATAGATAAAGCATTATATGGACTAAAACATTTATATGGTAGAGAATTTAAATACTTAAGAGACCCAGAAGATAAAGCACGCAGATATGGATTTATTGCACAAGAAGTTAAAGAAATTTATCCTGAATTAGTACAAATAGATGAAGAAGGAGGACTTACAGTAGATTATCTTGGAATCATTCCTATTATGGTAGAAGCATTAAAAGAAATAGAAAAAGAAAGTGAAAAAATAAGAAGAAATAAAAAGATAGAAAGTGAAAACCTTAATTTAACAATAAATAAAACAATTAAAGAATTAATTAGAATTGAAAAAGAATTTAAAGAACAAAAAGATGAAATATTAAAACCAATTCATAAAAAAGAAAAAAGGTCAACAATTAGTCATTGTTTTGGACCAACATATTTCGTTATTTTTATGTCAATTTTATTTTCTATTAGTGCACTTATTGTTCCACTCATAAGTCCTGTTTATTTGATTGAAATAACACTTATCTTCATTAGTTGTATTTTATGGATATTTGTTATTATTAATAATTCGGAAGTAAAAGAACTTATAGTCAAAAAAGAAAGTTTGAAAGAAACATTTAAAGAAAATAATTGGTGGAGTATATTACAATTTACAATATGGTCTATAATCATAACAATAATAATGAGTTCAATAACTATAACATTAGTTGTAGGAATAATGGGAGTTTTAATTGCTATTCTTTATATTATTTCATTTATTAGTATATTAACAACGCTTTTACTTGTATATTTTAATTGTTCTTATAATTATAAAACTCTAATTATTTGTATTGTATTTTCTTCTTTTCATGTCATTGCTCTTATTGCTTTAATATCAGCTATTAGTCTCCAACCTTTTCATTGTTTTGAATTGACTCATTATAATATATTAAAATCAATTCAAATAAACGTTAATCAAACTATTGTTCCAATTGCTTTACCTCTATTACCATGGAATTGTTATGACCCAAAATTTCATTATTCAACCCCTTTACCAAATGAATTAGAATTAGAACTTGAAACAAAATATATTAGTAGAATAACACCATATCTTCAAGGTAAAGTTACACAAAAAGTTAATTATATTGGATTAATTAAATTACAATGTGGAATAACAAAGATAGATTATGCAAGAATATATCTACATGCTTACTAAATTCATGTTCTATATTATTTTCATCTTTAATATTTGATTATGATTATTATTATTAATTGTTTGTACTTTCTCTAGTTTTTTTTTATAACTCAAAAGAAAAAAATTATTCATTTGAATTATCTTCATTTTCTTCATTCCCAAAATTAATTTCTTTGTCTTCTAATGTCATTTCATCTATATGATCTTCTATCTTGATTGTTGTAATTTCATATTCAATTTTATCAGGAACACTTTTCATATTAACATTAACAAACCCAATTTTATGATCAACCCAAAATTGAATATTATTTTTCTTTAACATTTTACTTAATGCTCTTCCTATCTTTGAATATCCTAAACCATTATGATTACCTACTCCACAACTAATTCTCATTGTATGGATATCTTTATTTTTCTTAAGACTAGGTAACTTTCTTTGTACAATTTTTAATGCATCTCCAACAAAAAGACCATGTAAATCCATTTTATCTTGAACAGGAATAAATGAATTAGCCTTTTTGAAAACATGTTCGGCTGCTCCATCTCTTCTATTTGACCATTTCTGAATATCTTGTTTAAGTTGGTCAATTTCTGCCTGACAATTCTCACCCTTCATCATACGGTCATTTAATTCTTTCTTTCTACGTTGAAGACTTGATGCTTGAATAATAAGGGGTTTATAATGTTTTTGGAAAGCACGCCATATTTCTTTTCTAATAACCCTAAAGTCAGTGCATCGATTGAACTTCTTTTTATGAGGATGTTGTAGAGGCTGAGTTGGTTGGAGTGCCTTAATTTTAAAGAACAACCAAACTCCAATACAAATGAAAATGAAAGAGACAGTAAGAAGAAAGAATTGTGGAAGTTCCATTTGATGATAAAACAAGGTGAACTAATATTAAAACGAACTTCAAAAAAGAAGGTAAACGTAGAAAGAATGAATTTGAATATTTATAAAATTTGTCTTGTTGGAGACCAAAGTGTAGGTAAAACGTCATTAGTTAACCGTTATGCAAAGGGAGGGTTTAGTACAAATGAAAAAGCAACTATTGGTGCTAATTTTATTGCTACAAGTTATATAAAGCAAGGGCAAGAAATTAAATTAGCCTTATGGGACACAGCGGGACAAGAGAAATATAGGTCAATGGTTTCTATGTATTATCGAGGGAGTAGAGGAGCAGTAATAGTTTATGATGTTACTAATAGAACAACATTTGAAGATATTAGAGGGTGGTATGATGAAATTTTCAAAGCAGAGCCAGATGTTGTTTGTATGCTTGTAGGAAATAAAGCAGATAATAATCAAGAAAGACTAGTAAGTTCTGAAGAGGGAGAAGAATTAGCAAAAGAATTAGGTATTTTATTTTCTGAAGCATCAGCTAAAACAGGAGATAGTTTGTTTTTTTTTTTCATTCTTCTTAAATTATTTTCATATGTTAAGTAACACTAAATAATTAAACAAACAGATGTTAAAGAAACATTTATACAACTCTTTGAAGCTATTAATTTTGATGAATCACATTTACCAAAAGGTGACATTCAATTAAATAAAAGTAAACAAGAAGAAAAGGGATGTTGTTAATAATTTACTCTTTGTATTAATCAAATTTTAAGAAGACTTTCTTTTATTTTTTATTTAATAACAATGAAAAAAGATGTTTTACTTGTTTATTTTCAATCTTTGAAATATCATTCAATTCTTTACTTAATAAGATGTTTTAATGATAAAAAGATTTAATGTTTGTATTATTTTACGTAAGTTGGTTAGAGAAGAATAGTTTAATAAATAAAACATACACAATATGTTATTTATTCAAGACAAAGAAATGAATAAATCCAATGAACTAAAAATCAAACAAATGAAAACAAAAACATTAAAAGAACTTGTTGAAGAAGTTAAAGAAAAGAAAGTTAGAAATATCCCAACATTTAATCAAGAAATTGATCAATTTTTAAATGGAGGAATTTCATTAGGTGAAATAACACAAATAGTTGGATTTCCTGGAAGTGGAAAATCTCAATTATGGTTTGTTTAATGGTAAATAATAATCAATAATAATAATAATAAAAGTAGTATGCAAATAGCATGTAATGTTCAATTACCTGAAGAGATAGGAGGATTAAATTCTGAATGTATTTATTATGATTCATATTCACAATTTTGTATTTCTAGAGTTCAAAGAATGGCAGAGTGTATATGTGCTTCATACCCAGAATATAAACTTAATGTAAAAGAAATACTTGAAAAAATTCATGTATATCAGCCACATGACATTGTGAGTCTTTGTTCATCTCTTTTATCAATAAATAATAAATTAAATAAGGTAAAAGTAATAATAATTGATTCAATACCAACATTTTATAAGAAAGCTATGTGTAATGATACAATTAGATTAGCAGCACTTCATCGGATAATTCAAATTCTCTCAATATATTCAAATAAATATTATTTATCAGTTGTTATAGTAAATCATTTAACAACAAAGAAAATTAATAGTAATTACACATCCATTGATTATACTCAATCAGCACCATTTCTTACATATTTTTTAAGGAATGGAGGAGTAATATTTACATCATATATTAAAAATTCTATATTTCTTTATCAAATAGAATCAAAATATAAAGCAATAATACAAACAACAACTCGTTTACAAAATGGTAATATTTCATTTGAAATTACAGAAGATGGATTTAGATAAATAAAATATGAATGAAAAAATATAAATTATATCATTTTTCTTTTTATTATTTTCGTTCTTTTCTTTCTTTTTGATTTGCTTTCTTGTATTTTTTATTAATTAACATAAAAAAATAATGAATTAAAAAAGAAGATGAATATCATTATTTACCTCTCCACAGTCCTAATAATGATCCTTTAGCAAAATTTAATGCACTAGTAAATGTACCATCTCCACCAAATCCTGTTTCATTTCCTTTAATATTCTTAAAACTAACTCTATTAGCCATTTCTTCTGAATCAACTTCAAGAATAATTCCATCATCTATAACTTCATCAATAGCAATTGCAATTTTATCATAAAATTCTAATGCTATCTTTTTATCTAGTCCTTTATCAAATATTATTTCAAATCCTTCTACAATACAATTTAATGCATTACTAACAAATAATTCATTTTCTTGTGGATCTGTTAATGCTGCAATAATAAGGTCTGATACCATTCTATATAAAACAACATATTTATCTAATAAAAATAATTCACTATTTCCTTTTCCTGAAACTGCTTTAGCAATTCGTGTTTCAATATCATGTTGTTTATGTAATGGAACATTTGGGTTTTTTTCATAAAATTTACTATATAATCGTTTTCCATCTAAATCAATAATTATTAGTGCTTTAATTGTAGGTGTGTTCATATTCACACTGATTAATTTCTTCATTTTAGTTCTTTCTTTTTTTTTTTCCCTTTTCGAGATATAATTATTATTATATTATTTTTTTTTATTCTTTCTTGTTAATCTCATAATCACTTTGAAGATTTATTCTTCAGATTTTAGGATTTTCTTGAAACTTATAAACCATTCTCTCTTTCTTCCTTATGGCAATTGATAATATCACTATTTTTAATCTATCTGGTGATGTACTTTATTGTGGGAATGATAGAAAATATTTTAGATCTATTGACTTTTATATTAAACATTTATTAACCCAATATTCACCAACTGTGTTTGTTATTGACTCAATCCAATATATTCGTGTTATTAGAAATAATCTTCATTTTGTTTCGTTTGACTTAATTAATCAACCCCCTTCAATATGTATATCTCATATATTTTCAATTATTACTGCAATTACTGATTTCTGTAATGGATTATCAGAAACGATTATTCGGAATAATTTAATTCGAGTGAGCGAAGTTATTGAAGAAATGCTTGATAAGACATCAATCAAATCATATCAAATTGTGTCACCAATGTCAACTGATTTTTCAATTACACAAATATTCAAAACAAATACAGAGACACGAGGAGTTTATGTAGAACATATTGAAACACTTGATAGCAATGGGACAATAAAAGGGATTATTAATGTCAAAAGTAGTGAATGTCTTCCATTAACAATATATTTAAAATATCCCGATGATGTTGAATTTAAAGGAAATAATCCAATGAATGGATTATTAAATATACCATTAACATTTGGATCTGTTCGTGTATTAACATATAAATTAAAACGTGATATTGTTGCACCATTTGATGTTAAAATTAAAATAGAAAAAGGAGATACATACATTAAATTTAATAGTACTATTAAACAAAGAGTTATAGGGAAATGTTGGTTAGTATTTAATAAACCAAAATATATAGAAAGTGTTAGAGTAATTGATGGAGAAGGACAAATAGAGGATAATAATCAAAATAAACAAAAAATTAAATGGAATATTATAGGAAATGGAACAATTAAATTTAATTATAAAGAAGGGATTCAACCATTAACAAGTGATTTTCCATTTGTTTGTGTAGAATTTGAAGCAGAAAAAACAATAGTTTCAGGAATAAGTATAATAAAAATGAAACTTGAAAGAAATGATATTCCAATATATTTAAAACAAGCAACTAAACAAGGGTCATGGACAATTAAAATTTTATAATTAATTTATTCTTTCTTAAAAGAAAAAAAAAATACATAAAAATTTGATAAATTAATTTAAAAATATCCAATTCATTTTTCTCTTTACATTTAAATTATTTTATTTTTTTCTTGTATTTTGATAATGTGTTGCAATAACATCTCCATATTCATCTTTAATTTCTATTTTCTTTCTTTTATCTTGTTCTCGTTCAATTTTACTTATTTCTTGTAATTTTCTTTCTGTTATTTTAATTTCTTTTTGAAGTTTATTAATTTCTTGTTGTCGTTTTTCTTGTTCTTCAATGATTTTTTGAGCATCTATTTTTTCTTGGATTTTACTTACATCTACTAAGTCAATTGGATCCATTTCTATTCCTTTTCCTTCTTCATTAAATACAATTCGTTTTTCTCTTATAAATATTTTCTTTTTTTGTAATCTTGCTAATGCATTTTTTTGTATCATTAGTAGTCTTTCTAATTCTTGTGCACTTTGTCCTTCTTTTGGTCTAATATCAATTACCACTTTTCCTTGTAATCGCATATTTTGCATTTTACAATTAAATTCATCTGGATTTTTATTCGATGCTTTTCTTTTTAAGTATGCTGTTGTTTCTTCTTGTAATTTTCTCGTGTGTGCTCTTTTAACAAAATCCTTTCTTCTTTCAAGTTTACCTAATCCTCTCATTGACTTTGGTTGTTGACGTTCATGATGGATAGTTTGATTAAATGGATTTCTTCCCATATATTTTATTGTTTCTTTTAAGTTCCTTTTTTCTAAAAAACCCTTTATTTTTTCTTATTTTTTCTTTCACAAACTATTTCTTTATGTAAATCATCAATTATTCTAATTTGTATTGTTTTAATAATTGTTTAATATGTGTATTAAGTCCTTCTGATTCAATTGGTGTTTGTAATTCATAAAAAGGATTTAATATAATTTTCACATAATCTTCATAAACTGCTGTAAAAAATCCTTTTGTATCATCAGTTTTACTTGTTGACATTAATACAAATTTAATATTTCCTGATGTAACAAATGCAGATAGGTGATGTGACCCATAAACATCAATTGATTTAAAATACATTTTTGGTGTTGTTTTCTTCTTTTCTTCAATAAAGTCTAATGCAGAAAGAATAACAAATTGGTTTAAGACATATTCATTATCTGATGCATATTTCATTGCACTTTCTTTTGGATATTCATAAAGTAATCTATCATTACTACCAATAATAACAAAGTATGTGTTTTGCATTTCTTATGAAAAACAGTTTTTTTCTTTTTAATTTTTTAAGTTCTTTTTTTTTAGTCAAGAATATTCAATACAAACTTCACTGTATGTCATCCATCATTGATTATTTTTATTCTATTCAAATTTCTGATTTCAAAATTCAATTTCCTAAGTGTTTAATGGATTATTTAAATACAGACGATGATAATATTAATTCTTTTATTAATCAAGTATTTAAACTTCCAGCATTAGATGATATTGTTAATTATTTCTCAAAATTTGCACCTAGAAGACAATGTCTTCAAAGACTTAAAACAAGTTACACATGTTTAACATGTTATGGAAGATATGTAACTATTTGTGGTGAATGTTATAATCCAAATGAACATATTGGACATAATGTTCAAGAACATACAAACACTGTAGGATATTGTGATTGTGGAATATTTAGAAATGGAGGATTTAATCATTGTAAACATCATTCACCAACATTAATTATTAGAGAAGGAATATTAGAAAGAGCATTTGGAGAATATTTAGAGCATGGTAAAGAGATAGTAAGAGTAATTATCAAAACATTACAAGAATATTTATTAATCAAACATACTTCAAAAGAATGGAATAAGTTTAGTTTATTTATGGATAAAATAAGTAAAATCTTTCAAGCGGAAGTATTATATCAATTATTTGGAGAGGTTTCATCAGAAATAATAATTGGAACATTCTCATTCACTCAAGCATTATTCATTTTAATAAATTCAAACATTCCATTACCAACTAATTTTATTCAAATAGTTGGACCATCATGGTTTATTCCTATGGCAATGCATCCAGCAGCATATAAACATTATAAAGATTTTATATTAGTAAAATATCAAAATAGAGCAGTGTTTTATGGAAAAACATTATATTTCATTCAACAAGAAATACAAATACTTGAAAAGCCAAAAAATCGTAAAGACTATATAAATCTAATATATGCTGTAAATGAATGTAGTTCATTATATCTTCAACAAGACATTTTAAATATAAAACAAAGAAATGAAGAATTTAACAAGGCAATTTCAATATTTTCAAAATTAATAGATGGGATGTTGAGTAATAAAAAGATGTTACTTACAGAAGATCAATATGTTGTTAAATCAATTATTAAAAACATAATTCATTTTTATGTAAATGGAAAAGGAAAAGAATATTATGGAAATATACTTAAACAGGATATATTAGTTAAGAGAATTATACCATTAATGGGGATATGTGATGATGAATTTATTAAAATGATAATGGATATTTTACATTCAAGTCAAGAAAACACAGAAAGTCTTTTAGATTTGATTACTGAATTTTGTTTTAATCAAAGGAAAATAAGTGCAGGAGTATATCAAATGATAAAGAAATGTGGAGATAATTTAATTCTTCCAAGTGTTAAATTTGAAGGAATTGAAGTAGACGAAAGAATTAATAGATGTGAAAGTCAAATTGATTTTATGGATATTTATCAATGTAATATTTTACCATTTTCTTTAAGTCAAATAGGAGATACATTTAATATAATTAAATTATTTTCAAAAATGAAAGAATGTAAAGAGTCAATGATTGAATTTATTAAAAAAGAATATCCAAGTATTAGAAGTGAAACAATATTAATTATTATTGTATGGTTTTTTCATTATAAAGAAAAAGAAGTTCCATATTATATTTCACAAAATAAAATGTATGAAAAATATAAAAGAGAAGATAAAACACAAAGCATTACAATGAATGAAATATTACAAGAACAAACAAAAAATAAAAAATTAATATGTAATCCATTTGTTCCATTTGCACAAGGTATAATACAAAATGTTTATTTATTTATTTGTTTATTAACAAAGAAAACAATTGGATTATGGAAAACAAACAATGAAATAGAAATAATATTAAAATCAAAAGAATTAACACAAATACTTATTCATTCTATTGATGAACAACCATTATTTGTTATTCATGTATTATGGTTAAGAGTTCTTTATAACATTTCACTTCCAGATGATGATAATTGTTTTATTATCTTTACTCAACTTCAAAAGTTTATAAAACAATATCCATTTATTTTGGTTTGTTATTATCATTATTATTATTCTTCTTTTATTAATAATATTCAGAAATTTAATCATTTAGCAATCAATCTACAAATTATCTATAGAATATGACTCAGTTACTCTTGGAACACAAAAACTCTTTTTAGAAACGTATTTTAAATAATTTAATTAAGGTTAAAACAAATTAAACAGAAAGTTTTAAATAGAAAGAACTCATAAATAATACTAAAAAATAAGAAAACATCAAAAAAGGAAAAGAGAAGAACTAGAAAAGGATAAAAATAGAAACGACAAGAATAGAGAAAGAAATAACGATCATCTCTTAAATTAACAACTATAAAATTAAAAATAGAATGAGTGTTTCAAGAAGAACATTGTCACTTAGTGCTAATGCCAAAGCAGTATCAGGAAGTAAATTTAAAAATATTTATGGAGAAACATGGAATGTAAATACATGGATAAGAAATGTACATCCAAATATAGGAAATGAACCAATTATTCAAGTGTCTAGTAAATTTTATGGAATTCCATGGAAGTCAAATGGAGATGGATTAATGTATGTAGGAATAATGAATAAAGCAGAAAGAATAAGTGATAAACCATATCTTATTAAAGCACATAATCAACAAATAACAACATTTGAATTTTCACCATTTCATGAAAGAATGCTTTGCACTGGATCTCGAGATTGTAGTATTAAAATATGGGATATTATGCCAGATGGATTAACAAATGATATGAGTGAAGCAAAAGTTAATATTCAAGAAGAAAAACGAATTACTAATGTTACATTTCATCCATATGCAGATAATTTACTTGCAAGTAGTTGTATGGATGGAACAGTTAAAGTTTATGATATTACAGAACCTAATGAAGAAGTAATTAAAGTAAATAATGGAGCAGCAGAAGTATTAACATTAAATTGGGAAGGATGTTATGGAGAAAACTTTATGACAATTTCTAAAGACTTTATGTATAGACTTTATGATCCAAGAGTATCAAGTGAAGCAATTACAAGTTATGGAGTTGCAGAAACAGTAAAAGGATTAAAAGGAGTATTTATTGAAGGAAGTGACTATATTGTAGTTAGTGGATTTAGTAAAAAAGGAGAAAGAACAATAAGTTTATTTGATCAAAGAAAGCAAGGAATTATTAGTAAAAGTATTATTGATAATCAACCATCACCATTAAGCATTTATTATGATAATAATAATAATTTAATTTATCTTACAGGAAGAGGAAATCAAATCTTTACATATGAAGTTCAAGGAACAAATTTAGTTAATTTAGGAAAAACAAATATTCAAGAAGGAATATTTGGAAGTGCATTTGTACCACAAAGATTATATGATGTTAAAAAATGTGAAATAGGAAGATTTGTTTTACTAAATAGTAAATGTGATACATTATATAATGTTTCATTTAGTTTACCTAGAAAAGAAGGAAAAACAATTTATCAAGAAGATTTGTATGAAAATGTATTTAGTGGAGTTCCAGAATATACAGCAAGAGAATGGCTTATTCCACAAACACAAGAAGATAATACGAAGAAAAGAAGGTCTAGTCAACAAGGAGGAAGTAAGAGAAATTCAAGAAGAAGAAGTAGTGTTTCATTAAAACCAGAACATATGAAAAGTATTTATGAAATTGGAATTGAAGAAGGAGGTAAAAGTAAAATACAAGAAAAATTAGAGAAATATAATTTAACACAAGGGAAAAAAATGAAAAAGTTAAAATTAAGTGGAGGAATTGAAGAAATAGAAAGAGGATGGATATGGAATAGTTATATTAAGAGATGGTGTGAAATGAATGAGAAATATGTAATGATATTTAATAATAGAGATGATCCAGTTCCAGCAATTATTATTAATATATTAAAAATTACAGGATTTAATAGAACAGAAGAAATTGAAGGAAAAGTTGGTATTGTTATTGAAATTGATGAAGAAAGTGAGGAAGTAATAAAAGGAAAACTCAAAAAGAAATATGTTTATTTTGTTAATAGTCAAAAAGAAGCAGAAGAATGGCAAACAACATTTGAAATTCTTCAAGAAAATGCGGAAGAAATAGAAGAAGAAAAACAAGAAAAGCAAGAAACAAAAGAAGTAAAAGAAGAAGAAAAAACACAAAGAGAAATAGAAGGATTATTATATTGTATTAAACCAACAATGTTCAGTACAATTAAACATAGATATTTTTATATTGAAAAAGGAATATTATATAGTCAAAATATTACATGGTGGACAGAAGAAGCAACAGGAAATAGTGAAATGGAATGTTTCTTAAATAGAGTAATTCATTTAAGTAAAACTGAAGGTATTTTCCCTAAATCATATGGAAAAAATACATTCCAATTAACAAGTAAAGGAAATGTTATTCATTTAGCATGTAAAAATGAAGAAGAACTAGAGAAATGGATGAATGCATGTACA